GCTCTGGGCCTCCAGTTGGATTCATGGGAGGCATTGTTATGAGCTCTGGGTATTCAGCTCGATTCATGTAGGACACTGTGGTGGGATCCAGGCCCTCAGCTGGATTCCTTGGTCTTAGTGTGTGGACAGATTTCCTGCACTCTTTTGTATACTGTTCTTTGGGTGACTTATAAATAATCATGTAAAGTATGTGTCCTATATTATGTTGTTCCCCTTGCAAAATAAGCCCCAAACCAACACAGGCACCTAGTATGCCAATGCTTATGGTAGTTCTCAGAAAAAGGTGACTCTGACACCTCTTACAGGGCTGGGGATGTAGCTCAGAGGTATAAATGCCTGCCTGGCAAGTGCAAGGTCCTGAGTTCGATTCCCAGTACCAAAAAAAAAAAAAAAATCACATGATACCTCTCAGATAATCTAAGTCTGTTTCGTTTTCAGCCATCATTAATATTTTGTACATCTAAGCATAAAATAGATATTTCTCTGTTTAAAATAAACTGGTGATAAATATTGTCGATTCATCCTGAAAGTGATTCAAACTTCAATACAGAGAAAAACTTTAGGAATAATAAAATTTGTTTGCTTGTGTAATACAAAGCAATTTTATTCAATAAAGTGTGCAAATTCTACCAAACAGTTTCAGCAATTCTGATTCTTCAGTCTATTAATACTATCTGACATCTACTCTGAGCCCGCTTTGTTCTGGAGCTCAATGCTCCCCACACTTCCATCTTCCAAGCCAGCCCCATCAACTACCCTGCCAGGACACATAGCAGAGTGTTGGAATTACCCAATGCCAACATAACACATCCTATACCTCCAAGGGACAGGGAAACCCCAACTGGCCCCAGGAGAAGAAATGAGGCTATATGACTACTATGCTTTTCCACAAATCTTCCCCTCTTCCTCCATTTGCTGATCCTAATTAATAATTAGGTAGCACACACATAGTCCAAATGCTCTTTCTTTATTCCATAAATATTTTTTTTCCTGGTACTGGGAATCGAACTCATGACCTTGCGCTTTCAAGGCAGGAGCTTTGCCGCTGAGCTAAATCCCCAGCCCCTATTCCATAAATATTTATTGAGTACCTACTATGTGCTCCTTATATTGTTGGTATTTTTATTTCCATGCTGGAAGTAAGATAATAAAGTACTTAAGTGGAAAGATACATAGATATGGACTATAAAGTCACAGAGACAGAAAGTAAATTAGGGTAAGAAAGTAGAGGCTGGTAGAATGACAAGGTGATAGATGTATCAGGAAGGCCCCTGCGCATTGGTTGCCTCTGAGTAGAGACCTAGAGGAGCAAAGGGAAAAGCCTTAGGGATGGGGAGAAAAATAGAGACCCAGGCAATCAAGGCCCTGATGTGGGAGCGTGTTTGTCATATTCAGGAAGGCCCACAGAGCAACTTGGCTGACCCATATGGAGTAAACATGGGAGAGTGAGCAGCAGAAGAGACAAAGTCCGAAGGGAAGCCAGGGACAAAGTTATGTGGCTTCAGAGGTATGAATAGGGTTGCTTGTTCAAACATCACTTTCTTAGATAGTCTTTCTTATGCACCCTTTTAGACTCTCTATAATACTATTTGGAATTTCCTCCATAGCTTTCACAACTAATAGGATTAGTAAATTACTATATTAGAGTTGTGGTTTTTATTCTAGGTCAGATGGAAGTCTATTGAAGGCTTTCCATCGTTTGCCTGGGTCTGGTTTGTGCTTCTCAGCATTTACCATGAATGGAGTAAGTGCAGTAAGGGCACAGCTGGAGATCACGCAGCAGGTTCTCCCTGGAGACACTGGTGGACACACTCACATCGTACCCAAACCATAGACATCATAACCTCAGCCACTAACACTGAGATGAGACTAAGGAAATATGGAAAATTGGGCTGGGGATATGGTTTAGTGGCACAGCACCTGCCTGGCCAGGTGCTGAGGTCATGAGTTCGTTTCCCAGTAAAAAAATATATATATATACATATACATTTTTTTCATATATATATGAAATTGATCCTAGTAACAGTGACCAAGACTAAACGTCATGGAATGCAAGGGCTAGAAGGATCCTTATGTTTTGGTGAAGCATTCTTAACCTTGGATATACAAATATCTAAAACTATCCAGAAAACATTATGGCAAATGAGATTGTTTCTCAGTGTCTTTTAGGTTCCATAGCATAGTTAGTTAGAGGCAGATCTGCTTTGTCATACCTCTACTTAGCTGCTGTTTTCCTCTCCCTCTCAACTATATTTAGGAGCCAGGGATTTATTTTTGTTGTTGTTGTTTTTGTTGTTTTGTTTGTCCTCTGGCACCAGGAATTGAACTCACAACCTTGCACTTGCCAGGCAGGCACTGGAGACATGGATTTTTGACTCCAGTCATGGAACTGTTGTATCCATTTATGAATTAAAATATGAAAAAAAAAAATGAAAAGTCCTTGCCTGTGACTCTGAGCTTGTCCTGAGGACCAGCCTTTAATTGGCTGAGTTAGCATTGCCTTAATTATACAGTTTCTCCAGTAAAGTATATTGAAAATGTCATTTTCACAAGGGAAAATTTGGTAGGCATTAAAATTTGAATAGAACTGGTAATGCGACATGATTATAGAGTAGCATATATATCTACTTTCCTTTGAACTAGTTAGACAGATGTTATTTAAGAATTAAGAAACTGGGAGAAAATCTAATTTGTAACCTAGAATAGCCATAATCATATTAAAGAAGCAGCAGTAAAGATTCTGAAAAAGCTTATTAATAGTCATAGAAAAATGAAGAATACAATTTTATTTATTTATTTATTTATTTTTTGAGGTACAGGGGATTGAACTCACGACCTTGTGCTTGCCAGGCAGGCGCTTATGCCACTGAGCTATATCCCCAGCCCAAGGATACAATTTTATTTATTTTTTTGGGTGGGGGGGCGTTTATCCGGTACTGGGAACCGAACTCACGACCTTGCGCTTGCCAGGCAGGCGCTGTGCCGCTCAGGCGCTGTGCCGCTGAGCTAAATCCTCAGCCCCAAGAATACAATTTTAAATGGGCAAAAATGCCTAAGTCATAAGTGGATATGTAAAAAATGTTAGTAGGTGTGAAATAAAATTTCCTTATTTTGATATGCAGAAATTTTCCAAAATTATGTTTTGGTGAAGCATTCTTAACTTTGGGTACACAAATTTCTAAAATTATCTAGAAAACATTACAGCTAATGAGATTGTTTCTGATAATGGTCCATAGAAGATTGTATTATGAAGATTGTATTTTTAATGATAGTTATCAGCAAAAATATAAGAATAGCACTTGATTGGATGATTAACTTGTATTAAAAATAGGAAAAGATTTGTAGATGGTTCAAAAAACAAACCTCTTACACTTTTCATTCTGATTCCTTCCTCCACTCAAATATTCAAATACCTCTATATTTTTTCCTACATCAAAATTAGCTTTCAAGAAAAAAGATCCTAATATTAAAACACAAGGCCTTGGCCTGGTGTGGTGGTGCATGCCTGTCATCCCATACTTGGGAGGCTGGGGCAGGAGGACCACCATGAGTTTGCGGCTATCTTGAACTACACATTGAGTTCAAGGCCAGCCTGAACTACGTCAGGAGACCCCACCTCAAAACAAACAAATACACCAACAAGCAAACAAATAACACCTGGACAATAGTTTCATATTTATATGGTGGACAGTCCCCAAATCTCAAAAGCTGCACAACTCCCACCCATACTCACACCACGTGTTACCCTGTTGACAAACGAGCAAATGCCGAAACATTTTCTGGCATAGAAGAATCAACAGTTCAGCTCCCAGGAGATAGGCTCCAAGGTGAAAATAAAAGGGAACACAAGAAGTTTGCTCTCTGCCATTCCTAGGCAGCTAATAAAGACTCCCAAAGTGTTACAAGAAGCATTGCTGCCCATTTTTCTAAAGCTGTCTACTTCACCCCAGTGCGTGGAGAGGAAGAGAATGAGAAGACAGAGGCCTTGGGACAGTTCTCTGCAGATAATAGTGGTAGTGCTGGAGTGAGAGGCTGTACCCCTGTGGCTCTGCTGTTCTGTTCTGTTCTGTTCTGTTCTGTTCTGTTCTGTTCTGTTCTGTTCTGTTCTGTTCTGTTCTGTCCTGTCCTGTTCTGCTCTGCTCTGTTCTATTCTATTCTATTCACTTATTTTTTGCTGTTTTTTTTGTTTTGTTTTGTTTTGCTGTTATTTTTGAAGGAAGGGATTAACAGCGGCACAAAAGATCCACAGGGTAAGGCAAGAACTTCTGCAAACCTTCTTTCTACTTCTTTGAACTATATGTAGGCTCTCAGAAAGACACCATGACCACAGAGAAGTAACAAAATGTGGAAGAAAGGCTGGAACCGTCACAGACAGTGTGGGGAAACAAACCATCAGTCACTCCCATTGCCTGATACCACATAGGTATGGGAAATCCCACTTCTTCTCTTGGTTATTGCTCTAATTTTAGACCAAACTAGAAAACAGTTGGAGAGTACTCAGAGCAGGCACAGAATTATGGCTTTGGGGACTGGTGATACATTCAGAGGAGGAAATACGTATGAAAAGTTATCACAAATGGTTGTTCCATCAGCCACCACTGGCCCAGGGATTAGCTGTGGTGTGTCAGGCCCTCTGGAAGGCTGGAAGGATTACCCAAGGGGAACATGGGACTTGCTCAACCTCTCAAAATCTGCTTACTCCTTAAAGATGGTGATAATTAAGCCAAGTCCCTGCTGCTCCTGCGAAAATAACTAAGGAAAGGTATGCTTCTGAGACAGTTGATCAGTTTGCCTTGGAGAAAGTGTGGGCGCCAAAGACAGGATTTCAACATTCGTACTTGCCCCACAAGCCCTGCAGGCCTTGCACCACTGCCTTTCGGTAAGTCCTCCCAGCCCCAGCTCCAGATTGTCAGTTTTTTGGCAGGTCTCTGTGGCACAGTGCCCTATTTACTTTAGAGTTTTGAGTCTATAGGATCATCGCCGGACGCAGGACACATTTTTGCTAGTTATGCTGATCTGCAATCCCTCCACTCCAACAGTTTGCGGTTTGATTGGGGACAAGAGGAAGAAGCGCCGTGTGGACTGGTGGGTATTCTTCCCCAAAGCTGTAGGGTCTCCAACGTGACTTCCAGGTTCCTACCAAAAGCATTTTAACTCTGAGTCCATGGTAGGTCCCAGGCCTGCACTGATGACAGGTCAGAAGGTAAGGGGACTGCACTGTGAATCCTTCCCTATCCTTTGTGTCCCCTCTATGTAGGAGAATGAAATGGGGGTTATTATAAAGGGAAATTTGGAAGGAGAAATTAATTGGAAAATAGCAAATGGGAAGGGTGCAGAGATATTCCACACTTCTTTCCTTGAGGATGAAAGACTGAAGGGCATAGCACTAATGGTGATTGCCCTCTTCGTAACACCCATGTGGGGAGGCACGCATTCTAGTTGTAGAGTGTTGGCAATTTATCTGTTTACATTTTTAATTTTTTAATTTTTTGTCTTTTTGAGACGGGGTCTCGCTTTACAGCTCAGACTGGCCTTGAGCTCACTTTGTAGCCTGGGCTGGTTTCAAACTTGCAACAAGCCAGGTGTGGTGGCTCACCCCTGTAATCCCAGCACGCGGGAGGCTGAGGCAGGAGGATCTTTGAGAGTTCGAGACCAGCCTGGGTTACAAAGTGAGCTCAAGGCCAGCCTGAGCTGCATAGCAAGACCCTGTCTCAAAAAGACCAAAAAAAAAAAAACCCAAAAAACCCAAAAACTTGCAATGATCCTCCTGCCTCAGCCACCGGATGCTGGGATTATAGGCTTTCGCCTTCACACCCGCATTAAATTTCTTACTTTAGATATTCATGGCTACCCACAGCTGTGGAATGAGGTAAATGTTAAATGGGCTACTCCTGCCTATTTTTAAGAAAACAGTTCCTTTTAGGTTGAGCTCTAAGGACCACCCCTTCTGTCAAAAAGACAGGACTGTGCTTCTCCTGTGTTATTATCGGAGCTTCCCAGGGTTTCAGGGACGATCCATTTCCTACCTTTATGCAGAGTGCTCACCATAAAACATTTCAGTGTGAGAGTGACTGCAGGGCTTGGAGCTAAATGGAAAAGGTGCTATGATGGATTGTGAATGTTCCCCCGAAAGGCTCACATGTGGAAGTCTTGGTCCCAATGTAGCAATGTTCAGACATTGGGCTTCTGGGCATGGATTGCATCACGAGGGATCTGATTTCATCCATGAGGTAACTGGTTGCCAGCGAGCGAATGGATTCTTGGCAGGTGGTACATACTGTGGGAGGCGGAGCCTTGTTAGAGAGAGAGGTCACGCAGTACACCCTGACAAGGTGCTCTCTTCCACCACACCTTCTGTCATGACGTTCTGCCTCATCAGAAGCAGTGGAGCGAGCCTACCATGGGTGGAAACCGCCGAAACCATGAATCAAAATAAACCATTCCTTTCTAAAGCTGTTTCTCTCGCCCTGTCTCTTTTTCGGTCATGATGATGAGAAGTTGTTTAACACAGGAGGTGACAAGTACATTGCTTCCTGGCCTTCTGCATTTTCTGGGGAAAGAATTCCCCAGGCAGAAAAACAGCAAATGCAAAGAGGCCAAGGGGAAACCATCCATGTAATAACTATTCTGGACACTGTCCTGTTCCCCGGGAAGTACATCATCAAACATGCCAACAGATATAATGGTCTGTGGCCTGCACATAATTTTTAAATATTCTCTGTAACTTAGTTTATTTTCACAGAAGTGCAAGCCCTATAGCAAGCTGTTCACATTTGATTTCAACATTCTCAAATTTGGGAAAGAGAATGTTTTTAAGAGACAGCCAAACTTCTGCACTTACATTTTTACATAATTGCCTTTCTGTGCTTACCTTTTCATAGCTCCCTTCCTCAGTTCTTTTGTCATGTAAGTGCAATGCAGGTACCATAAAGAATTAGAGAAAATGGAGTCATTTATAGTGTGTAAGACGTCTGCTTGGAAAAAATTTCTACTAAATTTTACTAGATTAATATGCTTTGTGGTGTTGGGAGAAGTGCTGCAGGGAACATCTAGAATACTGCTGTCGAAAAAAAATGTAAAAAAAAAAATACTGCTGTCTCTAATCAAAGGATTTTGCCAAGAAAATGCATTTATCATTTGCTGAAGTCAGCACTGGAGCAGTTCCATGAAGGACTACAAAATATTCAGGACTACTAGTTTGCAGTCACAATATAATGCTAAAAATTTTTTAAAAGTAATGAATTTAAAAGAACTGTTGTAGGATTTTAAATACACTGAGGCCTTCAATAAAATCTTCTTGTAAGATATTAAAGGTAGATCCTCCCTGTTATTTTCTTGCTACTAAGCTTTTGCCAAACTCCCATAGGATTTGGGGGTGCACAGTTTCAGTGTCTGTCACATTCGAGTCAGGATGATGACAGTGCAGAAAGGGCTGAGTCACTGTTAATTTTATGGAGTAAGCACATGATTTCTTATCATCTCTGAAGGTTTCAGGTTGACTTATCTAATTTTGCATATTGTAATAATAGCAAACATCGTAAGAAAGATTTGTTTTATATATTTATACTTCATGAAGTTGGAAGACCCTACAAACTAATTTCAGGATAGTTTTTGTTGGACCAGAGATCTGTTTTAGCCTGAAGAAAATGGTTGTTTTCCTGAAATACAAATAGTTAGGTACACACACACATATGAAATTAATCCTCAAGGCCAACAAGATTCAAGTGAGATTGTCTTGAAGACAATTGAATCTTGAGATTTTAAAAATGTTTTTTATTTCTCTACTACTTTTGAGCTAATCCTAAATAACATTAGTATTTTCTATTATATAAAAAAAATTGGGGGTGGGGATTTATCTCAGTGGCACAGCACCTGCCTGGCAAGTGCGAGGTCATGAGTTTGATTCCTGGTACCAGAAAAAAAACAAAACAAAACAAACAAACAAACAAAAACAAAATTGCTATGTCTGTAGTTTTTCTTTTCTAATTACCAACCCCTCCCCACTCTGCTTGAGTTTCTTTCTGGCATTAAATCTGAGACTTAAAAAAGTCAGTTCCCTGTGCTAAGAATGAGGACTGAGTTCTTAATGGACATTACTTAAATACCATTTATTTGGAAATGACTGGCACCGAGAAGCAGCACTCATTACAGAACATGGAAAGCAGTGAAATGGAAAGGGGGAAAGCATGGCTTCTCAGCTGACAGATTTTCAGATCGTTTCCCCATATTACAGCACGTTATTTACAATCATTTACAGTTTTAATCTATTTTCGACTAGATCTCTCTCTCTCTCTCTCTCTCTCTCTCTATATATATATATATATATATATATATATATATATGTAGATCTAAAGTCTAACTGATTGGTGCAAACAATAGCTCACTTGCTGATATATAATTCATATGGGAATAATTGCTTCAGAAATACTTTTCTTTGATCTTTTTGAGATAAGATCTCCCTATGCACTTCAGACTGGCCTTCAGCTCATTTTGGTTATTTTATTTTATTTTTTTTTTTTGAAACAAGGTCTTGCTATGCAGTTCAGGCGGGCCTTGAGCTCACTTTGTAGCCCAGGCTCGTCTCGAACTGGCAAAGATCCTCCTGCCTCGGCCTCCGGAGTGCTGGGATTACAGGCATGTGCCACCACACCTGGCTTGAGCTCACTTTGTAGCCCAGGCTGGTCTCAAACTCACAAGGATCCTCCTGTCTCAGCTTCCCAGTGCTGGGATTATAGGCATGTGCTACCATGCCTGGCTTGAAGAGAGAATGTTTTAAAAGTTATCTTGTGATTACTAACATAACTTTCATTTCATAACATTCTATTAATGTATTATGAAAACATGCAAATGAATCATGTTCACTTAAAATTAGATTTTTTTCCACTATGGCCCAATATACTTTTTAAATAAAGCTGATGGAATGGTATTTTTAGTTTGTTATAATAAAATTGCACACTACAGCTGGGTGTGGTGGTGCACACCTGTAATCCCTGCACGTGGGAGGTTGAGGTAGGAGGACCACTGTGAGTTTAAGGCTAACTTGAGTTTCATAGTGAGCTCAAGGTCAGACTGAACTGCATTGCAAGATCTTGTCTCAAAAAAACCCCTGCACATTAGAAGATTGCATACAAATGAGAAGAACTTTCTAGGAAGCAGGTTAAAGTAGAACTTTATTAAGACATATTATGTACATGTTCCAACTCCACAAGATGAATACAATCATTATGTACTGCAAATATGTACTAATAAAAAATACAGTGAAACTTTAGAACAACATTTTAGTACATACAAGTTGCAAGATATGTAATTTTGAAAGCACTGTCTGGAGGTTGTGAAAGGTCAGCAGGAGGGGACAAAAACAACTAATAACTAGGCCAAATGGTGTCCTCTGGCTCTTGCTCACAAATCCCAGTGAAGCCAGTGGAAGTTTACGGAAATATCTGAAAGACACGTTTGGCCTAGTTCAATCTTCCATTAAATTAGTATTTTAATATGCTGTCCTAGTTAAGTGCTGCTTTTATGGTTCTTGTAACATAATTTCACCCAGTGGTCATTCATAGCTTCTTTGCAAGTCACAAAAAAGAAGATAAGCTAACAAGGGATATTTCTCCTCTCATTTAATTTTCCCATCCATGTTGAGGAAAGGTCTTATGTAAAGAAATTCATACATCCGAGGTAAGCTTTGTGTTTTTAAGACCCATAAAGTGGGAAGTACAAACAGAAGTAAAATACATAATTCTCATACTGAGTTTGGGGGAATTTAGTTCCAGAGATTAAACTGTGTGTGCAGACAATAATATCTGATAAGTATTTTTGTACATTTTGTTTCATACTGTTCAGTGTGCACATGCCATTGTATGTTTTAGGATTTAAGGAGGGACTAACTAGCCTCTTCCTATGATCTTGTTCCTTGAATATTTTGGACTGTTACTGGGTAAGGTGCCTCGTCGCCGCAAACAGGTTGTTTCTGGAAATGCAGAAAAGCATCGCTGTATGGCTTTTCCCAGTCATTTGATTTCCTCAAAGAGGTGCACACTGAAAGGAGCCCGCCATCGGGTCTCCGAGCTGTCCGTTCGGTCATACTAAGGAGGCTGCACGGAAAGAGGGAGTCAGGTGAGGCATTCTCGTCTCCACTGCAAACTAACCCTTGTCCCAGAAGAATAATTTGGACCATAGACCCTGGGGCCTGAACAACTGACCGAATTCACCTCCCTGCTCTGTGAACCTACTTTATCTCTGAGCCTGTTACCTCATTCCTAAAAATGCACACTGATGGAAGAATTTTGTGAGAATTTAAGCGGTGAACTACCTTTGGGAGTGAGGGAATTGTTTTGTTTTTCAGCTCAGCTGTCACTCTTGTTTTATATCCGGTGTCATCCCGTACATCACCCTTTCTCACTGCCGGCACCCCAATTACTGCCCTCGG